AAAACCCAAACTATCCAATCTCCCCCAAACCCTTAAAGTTTCACTCCATTCTTGATATGGTGAATTCCATCTGTTTAAGAACCAAAATATGAAATCTCGGTTTGCGAAACTGCATAAGAGCAACGGGTTGTTTGTGCTTTCCTATGCTTTCATTGGTTCAGGCACATTTAACCCGAAAACGTTCGTATACTTCCGTTCGATGCACACGAGACTCCTAAAACACTGTATTGCTTACTGAGAACGAATGAAACGCCATTAAGTTGATGAGGTTGATCCCATCTTTTACTGATCCTGACCTGCATCGGATATGAATGATACACACAGAATAACGTAATAATTGTAGTGAACTCAATTACCATTAAGTTTTGATTCAGTCACGAGCAAAACAAAAATTAGTTCGTGTCGTTTGAATCTTAGCACGGAAATCTCCATTGTATGCGGTGGTAAACGGAGGTCTTTTGTAACACCCGATCAAAACATTTCCCCAACAAATCGTGCTCACATAAACTGGTAAGTAGAAAATCGAATGACAAAGGCTCGCCCATAGTCAGATGACGCAAAGCTGGTTGAGCACGATAATAAGAATTTGAGCTTTCCGTGTTCGGGGACCAGGACCACCAATTCCGTATGAAGCTCGGGAAAGAAACGTCCTAAATTGGGATATCTTGAATTGATGGAACCCACCTGGACCTTGTTTGCAATGAACAACCGAGAACGGCGGAAGCAGTGCACAGTGGTCAACGTCACTTTGGAGGGTTTTTTAATAATTTTTGTTGCCGCTGTTGAAAGACTCATGCTATATTTGGCCACGGCAGACGCACCTTAATCCTAGCTGAATGGATAGTTTATGATACACTTCAAGTGGATATGCTGAAGCAATCCTAGGAGCAGTTTTCTTTGCTGATTAACTTACAACACCGATTCAAATTTGTATGGTAATGTACCATCCAATCTCATGTGCATACCAGTGGTGCGGTGACCCATAAGGTCCTTGACATTCAGGCATTCACTATTTTCATGTGAATATATACTGTAAATTTTATAAGAATTTTGGAAAAACCAGTCGTTGGCTGATTCACTGAGAAACCTCAGCTGAATCGATAGGTTGTCTGAGGTTAGGTGAAGCTTACAGAAATTATGTTCGAACTCCGAAATCTTGTACACATATCAGTACATCTCCACTTGTAGTCGATGAACATTTGACATTCCTGTCCGCTAATGTCAATAACTCTATTAAAACGTCATTGAAAAGGGTTTGAACGCCGTCGTGAGTGTAACTCATTCAAACTCCAAGCGGACCATCCGAATAGTTCAAATTAATTCCCACTCCCAACCAGTCGCGGACGCTCACACATTTGTCAGTGTTGAGATTTGCCCTTCCTGGTTTTGTGACTGTGACATTGTCAAAGTTTTCTGGTTGCACTTTTATGTATTGATGGTGAGTTTGAACGTGATGCACAAACCACTTCTGACAACCTCTACCATCTTCCCAGAGAGTTTTGGTAAACAATCGTGACTTTATTGCTGGGTAACATTTCGCTTTTGACACAAAAGCTTCGTCAGGCCGAGTGAGTAAGTAAGTAGGTTGATTGAGCTTCAAGGCAGTCAGGGAACCAATCCGTGAGATTCCTTATGACTAGCAGACCTGATCAGTGCTGGGTGTTCAGTCTGATGTTCCTGTTGGTTGGTTAGTGGGGATGACCAACATTTACGATAGATTGGTTAGGGGGTTTTATCTCATGCTGAACCCGAATTTTTCGTCCTTGCTTTTTCAGTCTAGGACACCTTAATGGAAAATTCCTCCTGGGGTCGTTCACAGATTTCGTTCACCTGTGTTCGTCCAAGGGTGCTGGGACAATTAGTTTGGGGGATGGGGGTGGGGTGGTTAATTGGATCTAACTCTACTTGGATTTTGTACTTTTAGACTCAAACCATTGCGCTGGTAACTGCACACGGCCTCGTGTCATCTCTGCTGATCTAAGACCGCTCGCCACACGCTCGGTGTTAGCGTATTTGATGGATCGCCTTCCGGTTGATAGGACCAGGAACTGTGTATACAAAATAAAATGTAACGACCGTACGAAGGTTTATATAGGTCAGACAACCAGGGAATCGCACACCAGAATCGGTGAGAATAAGCGTTCCATTGACAGGCCAACGAGAAACGTAGATGAATACCAGGCGATAGTCAAAGATTCGGCAATGGCAGGGCATGCTCTATACACTGGGCGTAGGATAGATCTAAAATTTTTGGACATCCTGAGACAGGGTTTAGGATTCACACCACAGCGACTGGTGGCCGAGGCGGTGGAAATCGCCAAGCATCCCAGCGTGAATAAAATAGAGAGAGCAGAACTTGCAAACGTGTGGAAAGCGGTCTTAGATCAGCAGAGATGACACGAGGCCGTGTGCAGTTACCAGCGCAATGGTTTGAGTCTAAAAGTACAAAATCCAAGTAGAGTTAGATCCAATTAACCACCCCACCCCCATCCCCCAAACTAATTGTCCCAGCACCCTTGGACGAACACAGGTGAACGAAATCTGTGAACGACCCCAGGAGGAATTTTCCATTAAGGTGTCCTAGACTGAAAAAGCAAGGACGAAAAATTCGGGTTCAGCATGAGATAAAACCCCCTAACCAATCTATCGTAAATGTTGGTCATCCCCACTAACCAACCAACAGGAACATCAGACTGAACACCCAGCACTGATCAGGTCTGCTAGTCATAAGGAATCTCACGGATTGGTTCCCTGACTGCCTTGAAGCTCAATCAACCTACTTACTTACTCACTCGGCCTGACGAAGCTTTTGTGTCAATCCACCGACAGTTTAGGAAACCTCTCTGAAACGATGACTACCAATCGGTTCCAAACATTTTCCACTTGATTGAAAACTACCATCTTGCTGGTCAATCAGCCATCGAAATTATTAACCCAGTAGGACCGAATCCAAAACTCTTGGATAAGTTCATTCCAGATGTAATTCCTTCTTGGACCATCTAGTTACCTCTACAAACGGGAACTTTCATCCTCGAATTTGGACAGCTCCATATAGAATTGCGGATTGTTTTGTGTATAGATGCCACGCAGTAGTCGTGAGGTTACTGAAAGCAGGTCTGCCGTGAAAACCAAAGTTGTAGGCAGCTTAGCGTAGTTGTCGAAGCTGAGGAGTGTTTTTTGGGTTCTCAGATCGTAAAAAAGTGAACGTGGACTGATAACTTTGTGCATCCTCATGATATGAGACTTAGACAATCAGAGTGGATGATGACAGACTGTGAGGACTCGATGGGGCAAAGAGAGTGGTGGGACAGTGTAGGTGTGCTTACTAGTTTGGATATTTGCGACTATGTAGCAAGCTTTTTCCTTTCAGCCAAAGGCCATTTCTATTTCTAATTCACACTCACTCCAAGGAACCTGTGCACTTATCAGAATGTAACAGATCTCTGTTGGGTAGTTGTATCTCGAATAGATGGCAGACTTAATACCACCTGGTGAGCAATGCTATGGTGTGCCTACCGACAAGATGGGATCTCTCCAAAGAGGTATCCGCTGAAGACTTCCACCCTAAACATGATACACGTTGAATGAGACGACAACGACGTATGGTATAACGAGCCAAGGCGATAATGGTCCGATAAGCCTGCGAAGTAGGTTTGGATCAAGGTCCAAAATAGTTTGAAACAATCTGAGTCGTACATTAAAAACTGGAGAAGACGGCGGTTGTGTGAATATCACAACTTCCGTGTCTAACACGCATGATGCAAACGGTTAATAAGATTGATTTGCAACCTACAAAATCGTTCGTGTCCTCTTTATTGCATCAACCGTTTGCTGAACCCAACAGCACGTTATTCAGTCCCGTACCTTCATTCTGATCACACCAACATCCACTCGAAATCAACTCAAATCGAGTTAGCGGTACAGTTAACTTTCAAGAAGACGAAACGGTTTAAAATAGTACCCAGTTTATTTACAACTCCGTTGTCAATGGAGCGAGATAAATTGGCATGGCACGTTTAAAACGCATTTCTTGTCGAACAAACCGCAGTGAATTAATTTGTCTTCTTCCCTGACCTTCCTTAAGTTGATGTGCTGGACCTAAAAAATTTCATGACTACTTTTAACGAAGCTGTGGCAGCCGTTTATGGTTACTTGACCGGGAAATCTCTTTCTTCTTTGAAGGTTGGCTTTATCATTCATGTTCGACGAACAGAATGGATGAGTAGCCGAGACAGCTGTTCACATGAAGACGACGGTTTAATGTAACGATGGGTTCAATATGATCGGAGCAAGAACCGAGAAGTTACGCAGCATTGTTCATGGTCGCGGCTTCCATGAACGTTGGATTAGTGTGTACATTTCATCACTCACCGCAAGCTAAAACTAACTCTAGTCAGCAGTCTACTCTTGTCTGTGTAGCTACTTTCCCGGAGGATAAAACTCCCGATTATTGTCGAAGTACGTAGAGTTCCGGAGCCTTCTCTAATGCAGTTCACCGTTGAACTGGTCCAAAATGCTGCCTTGAAGTCAAAGGAAGGGAAGGATGCATCACAAAATGAGTTTAAGTGAGTCGTCAATGCAAGCGACAGTGATACCAGTCAATCTAACCCCCGCTTTGCCCGAGACCAGAGAATAATGTGAACACAATATCTACAAATCTATTAAGTTCCTACAGATACTGTCATTCTGACCGTTTGAGAAACTACTTTATCTTGAAACTGGTTTTTCAGTATTGCTTGAGACAGCTGAGATCTCTCCTCGAAATACGGCTGGAAACGGGCTTTCTTGCATGGCACCATCAAAGTCACTTAATAATTATTATTACGTCCCGGAATTGTCCTTTTTTAGGAAAAAAATTTGGTTACAGGTGGCATTATTCGACTGCATGCCAATGGCGCCATTCGTAGCCATCAATCGATTGTGTGTGGAAAAGTCGGTTCAAATTTAACGCTGATTGGCCCGTCCACAACCGGGTTATTTGCCCACCGTTCAGACGTACTGATCCGTATCTTGGACACCGGCAACCGGTAGAGTGAGGGTGGTGTAGAGGAGTAAGGCCCCAACCCCAAGACCGCATCCAGACGGCCCTGTTTGCCGGCTGTCCTACAATCCGGGTGTCGTAATCCGGGTTCAGTACCCTGCAACATGGGGTTGGTGAACACACTCTTCACCCTGATCCTCACGGGTCACCGATATTAGTGCGTCGGTATCTCCGGCGTGCGCTTGCGTGGGCATTTAGCTTCCATGCCCTGCATAGACAAACGTACACCGGGTTGATTGGGGGCAGACACACGGTAAATTGATTGGTATTAATCGTTTGCAGTTTGGTGCCACTGAACCTTCGTCAGTTCCGGCTGGATGCAGTGAGGAGCATGATACTGAGAAAGTTCAGTCGCCGGCGAATCTTGGTACTATGCATCGCCTTGGTGTTGCTCACCACTGTAGTTGATGGTAAGTTTCGGATAGACCTTTTTCAGTATTCTTTTCGACAACATTGAGGCGACCTAGTTATGTTGTTTACATTCATATGTGGAAGCGGTTAACGGTGTCTGATTTCCAAACGCCGCAGTATATTCTTGAAAGTAGTTTCATCTCATGCCTACGCATGACAGGGTATCTTAGAAGTTGTCGTATCCAGTGCGGTAAAGTTTATCCCATTCAGCATTGGACTGCATTCGATTTGTAAGTGAATTAACCTATGCCGTGGAAATTTTGTGAATTTATCAGAATGCACAGAAAACTAGACGGTACTTAATGATGAACCTTTCGCTGACACATTGGCTTAACGATCATATGGGGGTTGACAAACACTTGGGCAATGTAAAAAAGCTGAACCCTACATGGCGGAGTAAACCAGGTAAGTAATCATGCCTGAGTACTTTGGGGATGGCTAGATCAACATCGCATTACTGTGACTGGAAAAATGAGCGAAAGGTTGATAAAAAAACTTGGCAACTGATAGTTACAGTCAGGATTCTCGCTTGGCCCGATAACTGAAATGAGATGTTACGTTGACAGTTAAAGGCCGACAAATGATAGAATTTCAAAGATCTGTTCTTTCAGCGAGCGTGAACTCTAACAAGGGCCCATCCACTTATCGAAGCGGGGTTCGTCTACTGAAAGTTACCAAGCCCACATATTTCATATAGGCCTTTGGTATAACAGTTCATCTGGAATTCTTATGGCTCGGGAATACTTCACAGTTGGACACGGATCAAATGTGGATCCATGTAGGTAAATGTATCGGCACAGGCCAATTTAATTCCACATTACTCCTTCCCTCCCAGCACAGGTTCTAGACGGCATGTTACTAAGTGTTTACATAACCTTAAATATTTTACTTAGACCAGATATCGCATGGAGTCATATTCGCATCCGGTAAGCACCTTAGCCCTAATGAACGACGCTGCTCCTCTGGATTAGTTTGTATCAAAAACTGTTTTTGACGTTAACCGTGGAAGTCTTTAGGTACCGGTAGCGCGTCTCAGGCTACAATGATTTGATGGTGCGCATCCATAAACTCCACGTTTCTTTAGGCATTGTCGAAGGATCACTCCCTTTAGAAGGTGAGATTTACTGGACAGAAAAAACATTCTCTTTGTGTTCTGGGTAAAACACTTTTACAGTGCTGCTTAACGTTTTCCCTTTGAGAACAATCTTAATTTGGGAATGAGGCACAATTGACGCAGATCGATGGATCGAAATCTCGGATTGTGTTCAGTTACTGAATGTTCGTCATCCACTAAAAGTGAGCCACCAAACGTGCATTGCACGAAAGCGACTTTTATTGGTGTGAATAGGTGCTGCATTACCTGGGCTTGATAGATTTCAGTTTACCACCTACCTCCGAACAGGAGTGGAAAATTCGCTTTCCAAACCTTATTGCGAATGATCTATTGAGCCTTTTGATCACCGTGGCAGGCTTTCGTTGCTGGGACGTCTTTCATGACAACTTACTGATCCTCTCGGTGGTAGTAATGCACTGTGGACGCCACCGTCTTCAGAACACTACAGTATACTTATCTGTCTGGATTACACAATCGACATGGCTCCATAGCGTAAAACATACCGTTTGAGCAGTTGTCCACACAGTTACAGATAAAGAAGTTGCGTCGACGGATACGTTAACTGTAACCAATCTGGTAAGCAAAAGATGAGGTAAATTCATAATTTAGAAACGCTCGCATTGACTGTTACAGCTTTATCTGCGTAGAGTGCAGAGCATCGTGTTCTTTTCGATGAGTATGCTTTTTGTATGAGGTGTATTTATAACTATCATGCGTTGATTTATTAATTGTTTCCAAGGTCAGCGTTTCCGCTAGTGCTGTTATACGCCTGGTGTACTTTCCCAACAGTCGAGTGTGCAAGCCAATAGTCGGCATACCGTCATTGACTGCACAACGTTCTAGCAGTTCCGTTTGCTTAACTGATTATGTTACTTTCAAGCGGATTAATTCAGATTACGGCGAGTGACTTCTTTGAGTAGGAGTTTCACGGATGCGGACCTTGAAAGTAAATTTTATATCCACTGATCAACTGTCCGTACGAGAGATGTGGGTGAAATACAGGTTCTCTGGTTCTCGAGGACTCTTGGTAATGTTTACGTTCTCGTCCCATTACATCATCCTTGTGGTGGTGAGTCATTTGAATGATTGGTCCTGGTCATGGTGGTTTGGAAAGCTTCTGTTTAAGTAAGTGGGTCGATATGTTGGGGATTTTAAATCACTGTCCGGGCGGTAAACCGAAATTATGTTCGCTGCCCCATTTAAAAAATTACTTGAAGTCGTAAGTGTGGATTATCTACCCAGATAAATTGAATTCCAGGACACTTTTCTGAGGACCACACACTCAAATATTGATAAATGGGGACTTATAAACCCTTTGAAACCTGTTTCGAGGTCGAAGGTGAATAAAATCTGGATTTTGACCGACGTTTTGGAGTAACTTCTCGTAAACTTGCTCGAGAATCTATCCTCTTGCGTGCGCTCCAGTGTGCTGGCTTGAAGGCTTAGGCACTACCTACCATCCCACCACCTGAATTTAAAGACCGATTTGTAGTTTTAGTCAGGCATCACAAAAAAAAACTAACTCACCACACCAACTGTACAATGAAGATTGCTGCTGACTGCCCCTACTCATAGTATTAAGACGAATAAAAGACACACATCGTGGGATGCTAACACTCATTCCCCTCAGAAGTGATTTGTGAAAAGTGTAGACAAGACCGATCGTATGGCACTCAATGTTACCGTTACCTGTCTGCCAGTTCAGCTTCTTTGTAAATCCTTAGGTTTCGTGGCTGAGGATTGTGAGGAAAGTGTTAAAGTTTTCCATCCGTTGGATGGCTAATTTCAGCGATCAGCACAACACAGGTGAAGTTTAGCCCAAGGCAAATATCGCAGTGTCATGGACGACCACCTTCAACACACTTTCCTTTTCACGTTCATTGGATAGAACATTGGGATTTTTAACTGCATTCATACGATGAAAAATTTCCCCTATTTTAGCTGAACGTATCAGACGAGTCAAACGGCAGAATGAAGTCGAGCCATCGAATAGAGTAAGTCTCTATGCATCCAGTTTATTTTTACGATAACTTTAACTGGTGGTTCGAAATCCTGATGTAGTAAAGTAACGTTTGCTAGACAAATTCTTTTGCCATTCGTGGGACTGCAGTGCCTGAAATCGAATTAGAACAGCTGGTATGGTTCGTATGGGATTACCCGTTCAGTGGAGATTTTTCACATCGTTCTTTGTCTGTCGTAGTAATTTCGAGTAAAATCTCTATATTATTTCTTCAAGCGACTTTTATGGATTAGTAATATAAGTCTTTGAATGATTACAGTCATTTAGGGTCAACTCCTCTAGGTTACGTCTGAACGCAAGAGAATGGTTTACTTTGATGGATTTCATTTTATACCAGCAGCTACAACCACTGTACGACATGTACGCGGTTACTACAGCTGACAATGATGATGATGAAATATCCGTTAATACGAATGTGAGCTTTCCGCTGCCAAACTGATCCAGGGCACGATCTGGGTCAATCGATTATCGGTCAAGTGACTATTCAGTGACTGGGTCACGCTAAGCTAGTGTTCATAGGCCATGAGTTGGATGGATGGAAATTGGATGGATTTCTCTTCTATCTTGGTCCGCGCATCACTCTCAGCAGGTCATACCAGCTTATGCCAGTTAGCTCTGTTCCCTAAAGAGGATAGGCATTTTGGCATTGAGTGTATACAGTGAGGTTAACCGCATCGGCGTCATCTCTGAGCCGCAACACTTATGTGGGTAAACTTTGCGACCGAGGTTCAGTACAAATCCATCAACTTAGCTTGCAAGTAAGAGTTACAGATCTGCAGAATGCTCACAGACACGAGACGGACTGATCTGAACGGAAATGTAACACTGCGGCTGCCTGGAGTAACATTCGGTGAGAGGATTCGCGTTCCCTCAGGCAAATGAGGTGATAACAAGGCTGCAAAATGCATAAATGACTTGTTACTTTTGTGGGACCAATGCGGAATAGTAAGTGGTTACGAATACTGATGTACACAGTGACTGATTTCCTCCACTTTAAAAACGCTGCTGACTGGTTACAGAATGTTCGTAAGCTTGCTCTACGAAAGTATTTGGACTCGAATCTTTGAAAGACTTTCGGTACACCTGCGAAAGGTTGAAGGAATTTCAGCTTCCTTCATCAAGAACAAACATCTTCGGGAGATATCGATTTCTCCTTGGCCAACCTGTTTTTTCTTGGGAATTGTTAACAAGTAGAAGTCAATTGCGATGTGCCTGCACGGAAATTCAATCGATATGTTAGTATGTGCTGCGAATGTTCAATTCAGCTACGATGTGTGTTCCGGATACTCAACAGCTTTCAATTTATAACGAAAAAAGCTCCACGAGCCTGTCACCTCAGACAAGGCTCAATTTACGTTACTCGATGAATTCTGACTTATCCTGCGTTATGTTGCTATCAATCGCCATTCCAGTTTAGTGCGTATTTCAGTTATAAAGAGCGTTCCAGACCGCCATTTAGTCAAATAAGGACGCTTCATTTTATATACATAAAACTGTTCAGACTTCATTTTTTCTCTGAGTGCAACAGAAAGCATGTAGAACGAGAAATCCTACATGTTAGATGGGTACACAGTCTGTTTGGTACTCACCCAATGTTCTTTTCATTCCCAATGTTTTTGGCACCGACATTACGGTTTAGGGGAGTCAGATGGCCACAAGTGATGAACCCTATAGGCTTGTTACAAAAACAAAAACGAGGGAACCTCAGAGTTAGAGCAAATTAACTACATAACCATTTCCTGTCTAAATGAGAGCTAATCACAGTGCTGATCAACCGCTGATGACTAAACGATTAATGGTTGAATCACCAGCTGGAAGGCCGCGGGGTGTAAACTCTCGGAATTTCGTGAGATTCACGCTGTTGATGATTCCCAACAAGGATGAAACAGCTGTACAGTCCTTTCACTAACAGAGTGAAATCTCTGTTTAGTTGTAAGACTGATTTGCAATTATGGTTTTGACTGGCCTTCTACTGTGTCCGTTCAGGTGCAGCATCAGTGAAATTCAGGTAGAGGTGAAACAAGATGGCTTGTATGATGATGCCTGAACGAAGTTTTTTCAACTTTGTGGTAAGAGGTAACTGGGAGGAATGATCTCCATCAAGCACTGGTTCAAAGCGACCCACAGTCTACCAGAGAGCACTTCTGCCATCTAACTATGTGGTTTCTCCTTTGTATGATTAGCCAGTTGACAGTTTGTTGTGCGCAATATACTACGCCGAAGCCGATACACCCTGGACTGTTTGAAGCGTTAGATCAATTTCCCGATGCAGTAACAGACAGACAGATAGCAATTCAACTGCACCTTTCCGGTCTTATGGGTACCCTGATAAGATATGAAGTCTGAAAGGTAAAATCGGCCTTATTATTGTGCAAGTCAAAGATGACAACCAACCGAAACTTAAGTGTCTCGACTCCTTCCGGAACGTTGTCCCGATAGCTTACTTAACACTACTGAAATTCGTTTGATATTTTTACAGAATAAATTTCCAAAATTGTTGTTTTCGTTCGTTTCATTTTTAAGGTTAAAGGGCCGGCACCGTTCGGTGAAACAACCTTGCTGGAGAAGTTGGGCCACCAGGTCCACCAGGTCCCGGTGGTCTTCCTGGTCCAAAAGGTCCTGTTGGTTTGAAAGGTGCAAAAGGTGAACGGGGCGACACAGGTCGTGACGGAGATGAAGTAAGCTGCATCTATTACAGTACGGTTCGTGTTCCACATTCAAAACCAAAGAGTAATTGCATTTCTCGTTCTCTGGGACTATTTCTCACAAGGAAATTTTAACTCTGTGTAAGACATGGGCTATCCGCACAATAAGCTTTGTACTAATCCATGGTGAGGAATGTTTATTCTGGGCCTGGTTTTGAGCTTAGGGGCGGAACTGGCCGAAGCAGTTAGTTTATATTACATTTTGGAATTTCAAAGGCCCATAATCATGAGATCTTATAGTATTGCCGGACTGGTTTTGGAAACATGCACTGAAGTGGACAGTAGTAAGATAAGGCTTCATACTGACATTCGTTCCACTGTCGTTATTCTTCATTCGGTCTTCCATAACTTCGAGCTGGTGATTGAAAACGTTGATAACATATATTACTAGGATTGCTAAAGTAGGTAAACCATTTTTAAATTTCGAGTTGACTTGGATTCTTAGACCAGGCGGGATCACGTTGGGGGAATGGAAGCTGGACGTACTGTTTCATCCCCCAGGCGTAGGCACAGATAACTGGATACATGAAAGTCAACCACGTTATACGATTTTATATATGCGTTCCGAATTATCGGCAATGCGCTCTTCCATTAGGGGTATGCTATCAGGTTTCACTTGAACTCCTGGACGTTCACTGAGACGACCATAGCGGACCGGCATCAAAATTTTTAGGCAAAACGTGTATTGTCACTGCTACTAATCCGCTGAGATGAAGGACATAGATTAAGTTTCCAATGTGACGGGTTTTCCATAGATTAATTTCCAATGTGACGGGTTTTCCAGAAAAAACTAATAGATTTCGAAGGTATTGTTCGGTGGTCCGTACGAACCGACAACTGCACGAAAAACGTTTACTGGTCACGATGGTACATGGTATTTAATTGTAGCTAATAATAACAGTTAATAATCATATGGGTGATAGAATATTCATGCTCCAAATGGATTCAAGGTTGTCAATCTTGCAGCGCAGTAAGAGGGAGACGGATGTCAAACTGCAGCCGCCTACTGAGGACCGAGCTTGGTTCCTCGGAAGACTAATACCCGATACAATTTACTGAAACTGCCGAGTGTAATGCCTCCGAATGGAGTACTTTACGTAGTGAATAAAATTGGTATATTTTGAGAATCGAGGCCGTTGAATCGGTCTTTATCAATATAGACACCAGAATGGGCAACAACAAACCTAGTCCAGATATGAATGGATTCTTGATTGATTTTTTTAGTAAAGGGCCAAGTGCTTGAATGTACAGTGTGCGAGTTTGTACCAGTTGTTGTACAACTATCCTACTTATGAGTGACCACCTGGTGAAGACTCCGACATGGAACTTCGAGTGATTCGTAGGTTCGACAATCCCGAATATCAAAAGGAAGAGTTGGGTTCGAAATTCTACGGTACCATTTTCACAAGGGTAAGTAAATGTGTACAACAAACCACAGTTGTTCACGTTCGTAGCGTCAACAAGTTCACAGGTCTGTCACTGACCGGCACGGGGCAGTGTCAGCGCCGCACACCAAACAGTGGCGAGCGAAACAATGGCTCATTGGCATGGGTTGCGTCGTCCCCTGCGACGACAGTCTCGCGATTCTAATTGGTCGTGCGAAGCTCATGAGAAAACCAGTCAAGACAAGCTCAGCAAACGGGACATGAGCGCTGGTTGGTAGACCAGCTGCGCAGGTTCACACACAGACACATGTCAATACACGGGTGTCGACAGGGCGGCCCCTGCGGCAAGGTGAGTGACGGGTACAGACAAGCAAAGCAACAGGAGATCAAAAGTACATAGGCGGAGTAAGCAAATAAATGGTAGGAATCATCATAAGGTCAAGTTAGATTCAACACCATCTGTAAGTAAGACGAAAAATGTTCGTCCAATGTAGGTGAATGCTATAACCGGGTGCAATGTTCACTAACAATCCACTTGTGGATGGGAGGGGGTTCCAGGGTTTCATTAGGAATGTCAGGCAATTTCCTCTGAGTTACATGTTCCCCTGTTACTTTTCATTTAGGTAGTCATCATTCTTCAAGTTTTTTTGCAGAGCTGCCAGAATAATATGTTGGGTTTTCGCAATCGTTACCATCATCCAAACAACTTTTTTCCAGTGTACTATTCTTAGTGTTTCAGCTAGTTGAAGTTTACCTGTTACTGAGATGCCTTCCTATGGCGACTTCCTACTGGTTGACGACATCTCTAATTTCCTTTTTGGTATCGTCTGCAGACAGAATAGCAGCGTCTATGCAATCACAAATAGTAACAGAGGTTCGATAAATTGCATATCAGTGTGGTTTTCACTTGAGACTCATCTGAATCTCCCGTTTAGGGTGTTCTTCAAGCAAATTTGTTGCACCAAGCCGCCCCATAAACAACAGTTGCAAATTAATGTATCTGTCGAATTTTGTGCAATCTCGGTTGGGATATAGTACAAGATTGACGGAAACGCGGGGACCCTAGAAGGATGAAACAGAAGGGGTTTGAGCAGTATTGTGAACAGTTTCCTTTATTAACTCAACAGAGAGTTCTTATTGTAAGTGAATTCGGTCCACGCTGCAGTCAGTCTAGGCCGAGAAGCACTGCACAGGTGTTTGATCCTTGTTGGAAATCATAAGCAGTGCGTATCTCACGAATCATCAAAGCGATTCAAAGCCACGACATTCGGCCATGCACAGCTGATAAGTTGTGATTGGCTGGCACATAGACAGAACACAGCACCATTCATTCATTAATCAAGGAATTTCTGTCACGTGGTCACGTGTTGACTGGCTCCTAGACTAACAATTTCTTAGATGGAAGGTCCACTCTTCGTGTATGTCGTGTTCTATTATGTCATGGCAAAAATTAGCAGCTGTAAGAGCAAGAAAGTGACCATCCATCATCACAAAATTCCTCTTGAATTTGCAAAGTTTTATTAAAGTCATCCGTAATAAGTGAGTAGTCTATATAGAAGAAAGCAGGTGCTCTGGTAGAGGTATACTGTATTATATGCCCAACGATTGTTGTCGTATACTGTTTTCTAGGGTGCCCGTGGTGATCCTGGCGCGCCAGGTCCAATGGGACGTCCAGGACCGCGTGGGGACCCAGGACCCATGGGTCCACCTGGAACTCCTGGTCAAATCGGTCCTTCTGGTGCTGATGGCCCACCGGGTCCTCAAGGACTAATGGGACCGCAAGGTTTGCCCGGTCAGCCAGGTGAACCTGGACCAGTTGGAGGTCGTGGGTCTACCGGCGAAACTGGTTTACCGGGGCCCTCGGGCGATCCGGGTCGGCCCGGATTGGATGGACCACCTGGTGTTGATGGCGAACAAGGACCGCAGGTCAGTGTTGTGTACCTGTATGCCTGTTTGCTTCTGCGGTGTATTTTGTACACCTTAGCTCACTTACGAGTTTTTAACGGGGGACTTTTGTCCGCTGATTTCGAAGTAGGTTTTGCAAAGCACCTCTATGTGGCTGCGAAGGACACCAAAAACATGGCGTTTTCTGAACCTAAGTGTTTACATGTCTTACAGGGTCCCGAAGGAAAGGATGGCCGGCCAGGACCCAAAGGAGACACAGGATTCCGAGGGCCGGTAGGACCTGAGGGAATGCCTGGACCACGAGGTTCTACCGGTGCTCCAGGAATGCCAGGAGAACAAGGTGCAAAAGGTGCTGTTGGTGAAACCGGTCCACCAGGCAACCGTGGACTACCAGGCAATGCAGGTCAACCGGGAGGTATTGGATTGCAAGGGCCTCAGGGTGAGTTTATTTACCCATTATTGCAATTTAACACAATTCATCGGAGTCTCCATAAAATATGCTTTGTTTTAGAGCCAGATTGAAAGAATGGTGACCACCGGAATATACCTCTGTAACAGATAATCGGTGGGCCATTACACTTCATAGCTAATGACACTCCTAACGATGTGTAGAAGAGGGGAACGAGAATAATGATGATGTCGAAATTTTTCATTATTAGAAATAATGCCAATTTTCACACACCAATGTCCTGTTTGGAATGAAACGAAATTGTTAAACTAAAAAAGCTACTTGTCCTTACCCTTGAAGGTCCACCTGGGGCACCAGGAAAAGAGGGAATCATGGGGGCCCGTGGTATGCCTGGTCCCAAAGGTTCCACAGGTGCTATGGGTGCTTCAGGTTCTCCGGGAAGACCAGGAGTTGATGGACGACCTGGTCTCCCAGGTCCGCCAGGCAAGACTGGTTCACTTGGAAGGGCCGGTCCACGTGGAGAGCCAGGTCAGAGTGGCGTGGTTGGAAAACCAGGACGGACCGGTCCTGTTGGTTCCCCTGGTGAGAATGGACGGGATGGAACACCTGGCACCGTGGGCCAACCAGGACCTCGCGGCCCACCAGGCAAACCTGGCCAAAGCGGTCATCCAGGAGTGGCAGGAGCGGCTGGTCCACCAGGGCCTCAGGGTAACATCGGGCATCAGGTGAGTTCAACGTATACACTGTTTTGCAGAGCTCACGACAATAGGTACTTATTAGTTTTTTCTGAATTCCACGTTTGGCGAATTTTTCAAACAATATATAAGGGAGAACAAGTAATGCATGGCATGTACAGCATCCAAAGGGAATACCTGATGGTAATAAAATAAACCAGGAGTGTAACATCATAGAGGAATCTTTCGAGTCAGTGCATGTTTCGTCCAGTTTTTCTTGTAAGATTTTTGGTGATTTTTCGATGTTCAAACCCGTTCTGTGCCGCTCCTCAGAGTTATCTTGAACATGACTTCCTTGGTTAACTGCACATCCGAGTTTTGTTGCTTGACCTTTTTGACACGTCGATAACGGTGATTTTTTGCTTGGAAAACTGAACGCCGAAACGGCCTAAGCTAGGGAGATGCGCTCATATTCTCATCATGAGAAGCAATCATAGATGATCTATTTAGATTCCTGGGAATTGATTATCGCTCGCTCGGAAGTGGGCCTTGTATGATGAGTGATCAATACGGCCCCAACTCAATGCAGACCGAAAAGTTACTGAAGGAATACAGGTTGAGAATGCAAAACCAACTTCCTCATGACAGAAAGTGCACCATCGTTTTGCGCAAATTTCCCATGAAAGTATATAGATCAAGTGAAATGAGATGAGGTCCAATCTGATTGAGATTTTGGATTCTAGGGCCATGGACAATGTAAGTTTTGTCGAATCCTATTGGTCTGAGCAGAAAAATTTTGTCCACACTGTCGGTAATATTACAGATGAAGACGTTTTTATTTCAAAATATATACAAAGACATTTGTGGAAGATGTCCGTAAAATGCGGACTTTCCGTTTCATAAGCTCCGTACCTAAGGCCCCTTATCATTAAAGATTTGCTGAATTAGCCTCTTTGGTTCGGTATTCCAGCTTGCGCTCATTCAAGCCATTGAGTAGTACAGTGATTTACCACGTAAGGTAAACTGACAAGTCAAAGTGAGACCCCAAGTCTTTCAGTGATTCCGTCTATTGTGTAGAGTATTGAAGTAGTTTGAAAGCTTGACCATTCAGCTACTTTTATCCCGCGAGGTTGAGGGTTCAAGACTGGCTGGAGTTTTGTGAGATGTGCACTCATCACGATGGTTCCCAATAAGGATGAAACAGTTGTATAGTGCTCCTGGGCTTTTCAACAACATAGCTTGGCTCCACTGGCGGGAAGAAATATTCGTTAAAATTGTCAAATCTCTTCACGATACCAACAAGTCTGGATGCCTAGCTGTGTGTCCGAAAAAGAGGACTAACACACACGACTTACTGAAACACCCAATGACTTTCTCTGTGACGTGTTTAGGTTACACGCGTGTCGATAAGCGCACTTAGTGGATAGCACGACTTCCGTGAAGCACTGTTTACTAGTCGATCCAGCCATGTACCGTGCATTCAGAAACTTGCGGGCTAGTCTGAGACTACCGTGGTTTTACTGACTGGTCGTCTTACATTCTGTTTTCCTATGGAACTAGCCCTGGATTTTGTTTCGTTTTACCCCTTTCAACGCGTATTGTGATGAAGTAGATTGAACAACATGGGTGTATCCTGTGACATCTTTCTTCGTACAGCCATGTTCAAATAGTGTAGCGTCTTGCCTGTTTGACTATTACCAACCGTATTCATTTCATTTGCTTCGTTGACCACATTTTTGTCTGCCCTACACTTATAGTGGCCTTCAACAACATGCCATATTTTCCTGTTTTCCGACTTTTACCCATTTGTCTCTCCTCTCAACGAAAGCGAAGATGGCTCTGTAGCAGCAAAGGTGCAAAACCCGAACGCCTCTGAGTGGACTTTGAAGCAAAGGCAGTAAACGCCAGTTTGAACTCATTTGTATGTCAGCAACTATTGCCGACACTTTCAGTTTCAACCTTGCTTCATTCTTTCCGAAAAAGACCGCATTCATCCAGTCACACTACCTTTGCTCAGCAACACATACTGAGTACTAATCAGCAAACATCTAAGGTAGAATATCGAATAATGCGATCCAATCGGTTAGAAATGTACCGATGTCAGCAGTACGAGACTCTCTTAGTATCGTACGTTCACATGAATGAAACCGTTCTGGCTCCAGAAGACACTTATGTGCAAACAGATCAAAAGTAGCAAACGATCTCATTCACTATTGGCGCATGAGAGTTGAGTTTGTGTGAATCGGTTCAAAGAACACTGATACGATTAGGAACTGGCCGGATATCGAAAAAAAAACGACCAAGAGGTACTGATGAGTGCGTCAAGCCACAAATCCATGATCCATTAAACGGGACTGTTTCGCACGATATCGATTTTTTTTTGTAATGTGAGTGTTTATTCCAAATAGAAACCAGCGCAGCAATGACAATAGTGTGTTTCGTTGATGCTCTTTGTCCGGATTGGTTAAGTATCTGTATCTAATTGTCCATTATTCGCGGGCCCAAAATCCTAGAGTTGTACTATATATGTGTATACGTAATCCGAAACATCTTGCCTTGGTAGGGAAAAAGGTAAGCCGAAAGAACTCGCTTTCTGCACGTTGCTTTTGGAGTGTAAGTTGCTTATTGGATGTGTTCTCCGAATACCTTTAAAATGTAAAGGGTCCCCAAGGAGAGCGTGGTCTTCCGGGGCCTGCTGGTCCCGCTGGCGTCAAAGGTGAAAAGGGAATGAGGGGTTATCCTGGAGACGCTGGTGCGGCTGGAGATGCTGGAGCTACCGGACCACAAGGTAAACCAGGTCCAATGGGCGAAAGAGGAGGAGTTGGACCTGTTGGGAACGTTGGCGCCCCTGGACAAATTGGCATCCGTGGAGCCGTCGGGGCCCCTGGAGATCCTGGAAAAGATGGTCAACCAGGCACTAACGGTTCTGATGGTGAAGCTGGAGTACCCGGTCAACCTGGACCTCAAGGTCCAATGGGACAAGCTGGCCCTCCCGGCCCACGTGGAGGCCCTGGTGAACCGGGCGAGAAAGGCAATATGGGTCCCATAGGGATTCCCGGAAGAATGGGTGTCATGGTAATTTTTCACATTTCTATTTTAACTGAACTCACCTCTGTTATTTCCTTATGCGGTGAAGCTGGTTCCAAACAAATAATGCTACATTCAGCGTTATATGCACAGATTAAGTTGGGCAGTTGATTGTACGAGCAAACAGAAATTTAATCCAGCTTATGTGCATATGAGGAGGAATACTCCGGTATCTTGATTACGAATAAGGCGTCATTTTAGCAAAACATTTGAGTGATATTCACTGTTGTCTCCCATAAACACCAGCTTAATATGCCACTGACTGTTCAAAGCAACACGCGTACAATTTGGATGTTCAAGAAGGAAATAAGGTTGCTGCAGCTTGGGTCTATCTGATGGACCCCAAGAAATTTGAAACTGGTAATGGGCTATTCAGAGTTATCATCGACGTTATGATTAGTGTCAAACGGAACAAAATATATAGCCCTGTCTATTGCCTTATACATGACAGCTTCTCAATACATTTGTTAGGATTATCTGGAAAGAAACCCGAAACCCCAGGGCAACTAAACACTACAATCAACATGCAGCTGACCTAGTCGATGTCCTGGGCAAGTTATCATCCAACTTTGAATTTGAAAAGTAATCCACCGCTGTACACACAGGGATTCGATGCACATCACAACAGAAGCTGACCTTTGGTCTTTAGTCTCAGGTGTACACTTACTATTAACAATGCAACCAGAAACACCTGTATAAGACGGTCAACGAATAACAATACAATACAACCGCTATTATGTGATAAGTCACTTAAAAATATGCTACCGAACCGAGCGGAAAAAAATAGGCTAATACTGTGAAAAAGTGCCTAACAGAACAGTGCTCAGGGAAAACTGCATAAACTAGAAAGAAAACGCTTCCGTTTGACAATAAACAAATACACCCTGGCCGTCAATCTAAACATACGGTTTCTACATCGAATATTTTATCTCACGTGCTACGTATTAAGGTTCTGCACAAATCCGTTTATTCTAATGTGCCCAAGCATACGGTGACTGTCTTCCCATTGAAAAATCAAAAAACCTCGATTGTCATAAATGCAGATGTATATACTTTGTACATCCTGTCCCGTTTGCGAATTTCAAGGGAGGACACTTGGAAGCGCTCTAACAGGGTAGATTCGGTTCAACTATTTCGTGTATCTCATCAGCTGTTTGCATGTATCCAGAATAAATGGCAGGAATTCATGTCGTACAGACATGTAGGGCAGTGAAAAAATTGTACACAGCTAAGATTGAACTGCCTCAGTAGTTAAGTAACAAACTCAATATAGGTTCATTGTTCGAGCACAATCTCTACACCTCGAATTCTCCTAACTAGTCTTGGACGACGTGGCAGTACCTCAGCACTCGTGCTTCCTTCGGCTGACATGGCAGTTATGCACCGAAAGGATGTTACGTGTAAACGATTATCACTGTTTTTTCATTATGTAGACAGGAAATAGATGAATTCCATGCTCTCATGGAATATCTGTTAAATGAGTTAGGTTGGGGCAAAGCAACCCGTTTAGGCTCGGTAGAAACTAGCTGGACAGCAGTCAGAGCAGAATCGTGGATACACAACAACTATCAATCAAAAGTATCTCTGACAATAGGTCACCAAAGCTGACATGTAATGCGGACTGAATGCAGGTTTCTGTGCTGCCTGAACAAATTGAGACCGGTTGGGTGGATGCTCGCTAGTATAACGCGGCAAGATTAGTTGGTGATTAGTTGGTTAGCGAAATACACTCAATTGCAAACAAATTTGGTTTCGCGAGAGACTCACCTGGAATCCAGCTAAATCTTCCGTTTGTGATGTTTCCAGGCAACTGAATGTGCCGCACCAGGTCTCCTCATGTTTCAGTTGCTACTATATTTGAGATGTCGCGATATATATATATATATTCGTAATACCTGGAAACATCACAAACAAGAGATTCAGCTGGGTTTCTGGTGAGTCTCTCGCGAAACTGAACTTGTTTGCAAATAAGTGTATTTCGCCAACTTCGTGCGATTTGGTTTTAGTTAGAACATAAGGTTGACGGAAACTCGGGGACTGCGCCTACCTGGTGAGCCCCAAGAAGTGCGAAGCCGGTCGTGGGCTGTCGACGGATTTTCATCAACCGTATCAGTAGTTCATTACGAATATAATAATTTGGTTGTTCAGGGAAAGTCAAAACGTTCAAAGACCTGTGTATAGAGGCACAATCGCTTCCATATTTAAATGGAACATAAAACAAGATAGCAGTATGTGGTTGCCGGATATCGCTTTATTTGGCCGCTGTGCTACACATTACCCATAGAGTTGTCCCAAAGTGAAAGAACCAAATCAAGGCTGACCAAATGACGCGTCTTCTCATGGTAAACTCCTTCCCAGAAGAGACGAGTTCAAAAGCCTGATCGTTTCACGCGTTCTGTTTACATCAATCTGTTTTACAAGCTTCCCATACATATTACATGAATGCTTCGACATAACATGACGGAAATATGGGACTACAAAGAGACGTTTGAAGCTTTCAAAACTTTCCCAATCACTCAGCGCTCGAGCTAGAATTTTTGTTCATCAGGACTTCCTGACCTGATGTCTGTTGGTCTTCATTACCTATACAGCAGCAATGAGGATGTCATCCGAACAGATCTTTCACGACAGTGCATCAAAATTTCGGTATAACAAATGTTTGGGCCATCTGACGACCCAGTATGATGAAAAAATTTGGAATAAGCTTGGCTTTCATGTTTCAGAATGTGGTAGCGGCAGGAGTGGAGATCTGAGACATAAATAAATATTTTATATACGACCTTATTGAGAAGATCGTTCGGCTGTAGGAAAAAGCACGCGGCTGTCTGTACAATTGTCCTACTCAGAAGAGATCACATCTCATAAATCCACTTTCTACCGGTCCCCTACGTCTTTTCATTAATTATGTTTCTACGGTAGAATAGTTCTTCAATCCCTTCGTCTATGTTCATCATGTGGAAGAGTAGCTTACTCCCTAAAAACCTCCCTTGCAGCTGTGAGTGTGCCCCTAATTTCAGCCTTCAATTTGCATAGTGAATCTTGATTTTTTCGCAAAGCTAGTAATCGATATTACAAAGTACTATTGCATTCTCCAAATAACTGCTTCGGTTCTGATTCAAACTGATTTCCTTACCATCGCCTCATTCCACTTTGAAGTCCACGTAAAATGTACGCGAGTTTTATTTGAATACGTCCTGCAAGAGTAATTTCCGTTTTTTGTCACTTTTGGCTGCTTGTGATAGACATTTTTATGGCAACGACTTTAGTTTTTGAGAAAGCGGATCTTGGAAGCGCAGCTTCATGAAATGGTCTCTGGTGCCTCTCAGGAGAGTAGTATCACACTTTAGGACCACCTGACCTTCGACTATTTTGAGAGTTTCCTGTCACATGGTTGTAAAACAGTCACAGTTGATCGGTGAAATAATAGCCAAACGTTGGCCAGAACGATAAGTTAGAATGCCAGGAAACAACAACCTTTCCCGTCTTCTTAAAGACTAACTACTGGTTCATATCCTGAATGAATATTCAAATACACTCGCGATTATCCACATTATTTCGGCTTACCTAAACACCACAAGTGAGTTTTTGCCTTTCATTTTATAAAACTGTATGTCCAGTTTCCCTTATTTGGAGGGTAGCTGTGACCAAATAGGAAGGGAACGGTCTCACAATCTGCCCCGAGATACAAGTACATTTCCGACTTCTCAATACTTTGTTCCACACAGTCTGATCTTTACGGTAGTAAATCACATCAAGGCAGACAAGAAACGGACTGCCCCATGTTCCGAGTTGACTCAGAGTAACAATCTATTCAAACTCGTTTTTAGATTTTGCAACTTGCTGGAACTGAATTTTTGTACTTGATTGTGATTATCCCGATTGAATCGATCATTTTTTTTAGGGAATACCTGGTGCACCAGGACAACCTGGTCCAGATGGAGCACCCGGCCCCAGAGGTGACCGAGGCATTTCCGGGATCAATGGACTACCAGGTCAGGATGGACAACCGGGACCTCAGGGACTGCGTGGACCCCGGGGAGCGCCCGGCATTATTCAAATTCTGGCTACCAGTCAAGCACTTATGATTGGTTCTCCCGGTGATATGGGTGAAGTAGGAGTGACTGGAGAACCTGGAATACCCGGTTTAGATGGACAAGAAGGTCCGTCAGGTCCACCAGGAGCTGTCGGAATTTCAGGCAAACGCGGACCAGCAGGTCCTCCTGGAGCACCTGGAATTCCTGGAAAAAGTGGAGCACCTGGTTCTCCTGGGTCTCCTGGCAGCACAGGTCCAGTCGGCATTCAAGGACCTCCTGGAATTCCTGGTCCCGTGGGCGCACCAGGAGAGACTGGTCTAGTAGGACCCCAAGGATTGCCTGGACGGCAAGGATCGCAAGGTGTCTTGGGTAAATCAGGTCTTCCTGGAGCGCAAGGAGAACCCGGTATTCAAGGTAAACCCGGAAACATTGGACCGGTTGGACCACCCGGTGTCCCAGGCAAAGACGGGGAGTCTGGTGATCCTGGACTTCCTGGAGCAGCGGGCGAAATAGGTGAAGTTGGGAGTCCTGGTGCTCCTGGTCGAGATGGTATTGCTGGAGCAATGGTAAGCTAACAAACCGACCAATCCCAGCTCCTACTTTTGTTACCATCAATCTTTTTTCATTACTAATCTACAGAGCGTTACGAAAGGCCTGGTGTCATCTTTTATCATGACCGAATTTAATAAGTTTATTCCCTAAACTTCTGAGACAATCGATGGTGAAATGTTTAGAGCCAGTGTGCAGCTGTTTCACCCCTACTGAGAATCATTATCATTACGAATCCCACGGACTCCAGGGAGTTGTGAAACTGCGACCCCCCGACTAATGGTTCAGCCAGGAAATTGAATTTTGTCGGCATCATCTCACTTAAAACTGGGTTGTGCTGGTCGCTGTTTTCTACGAACTTTAGGTCTAGACAGCCAGCTTCTACTTTCTGTTCAGTTACACCACAGCGCGATATCGGCATGATGTATTATCGCGTTCGGCCTAAACAAAACGTGCTACGGTCAAGTGGGAGAAACTTGACCCCATTGAGCTGATTAGTGTTCAAGTGGACCAAGAGGTTTGGCCTAAGTCAGGATTTCAGTGATAGAGAAGATGTTACTGGTGATTTCCAGTGCTGGCTGATTCTATCAATGGGAAGAAAGGCGTAATAACAAATCACTACGATCCCACGGACTCCAGGGAGTTGTGAAACTGCGACCCCCCGACTAATGGTTCAGCCAGGAAATTGAATTTTGTCGGCATCATCTCACTTAAAACTGGGTTGTGCTGGTCGCTGTTTTCTACGAACTTTAGGTTTAGACAGCCAGCTTCTACTTTCTGTTCAGTTACACCACAGCGCGATATCGGCATGATGTATTATCGCGTTCGGCCTAAACAAAACGTGCTACGGTCAAGTGGGAGAAACTTGACCCCATTGAGCTGATTAGTGTTCAAGTGGACCAAGAGGTTTGGCCTAAGTCAGGATTTCAGTGATAGAGAAGATGTTACTGGTGATTTCCAGTGCTGGCTGATTCTATCAATGGGAAGAAAGGCGTAATAACAATACAGAAGTAAGGCTCGCAGAAGATCTGGAGACTGCGTTTTCGACTACGTTTGTGGCATGAACAGAAGCTAAATGAACTGTTAGTCGTACGGATTTGGTGGAGCTTCGGCTCCAACTGCGGTCCTTTTGAGTCTATGACCCCAAATCCTTCATACTTTCCAGGACGACTGACTTATCGTTGCTGAACAAAAGTCAGGAAGTAAATTTTGTCTACACGATTTATTTGTATACGAAATGATGACAAATCCCAAGCAATTATTTTTGTGTCTACAAAAAAGTGAGATATCGATCGATATCTGTTTTTTGAACCCTTAGTTATCGAACATCGAGTGTTAACTCTTGGTTCTGTCGGTCAGTTCTTTCCCCACATACTATTAAATATCATCATCATCATCATCATCATCATCATCATCGCCAGCAGCAACATCAGTGTTGGTACTGATGGCTCATTGCCGTACAACCATAAGGTTCGTCTAATTATATTTAAAGTCCTACAGTGAAAAGAAGAGAAAAAGAGTGAGTGAGCGAGGGGACTTAGTGATGGCCTATGTCAAGAATTCTTAGTTGTCTAGACCTTGAAACACTCAATCAGACAGTCAGGAAAGAAACCCTCAGCACGAAAGCCACTGACATCAATTAGCCACCATTTCTTGCAATGTCTCCAGTCAAGCACAGGCATAATCAGGGGGACCCCTTCCTGGAAGGCGTACAACACCAACAGCACTCAAACGCTTCGTGATTTCTTTCGCACCCCTCTGCTAAGTCATAAGTTGTTCTCATCGTGGTTTGCGCCTTCCTGAAGGAGGTACGGAGAACAACACTCGTCTTGGTAGACGGTGTTTCGGCATGCGTAGCACATGACCAAGTTATCGTAGTCTGTGATACTGGGTATTTCCCGCGATTGAAGTACCTGCCGCACAACCAAATACCCGCTTTATAATCATCTCGTTACTAACACACGGATGCCGTCCAAAACCAGTCACACTTCTGAGGCGTTGGTGGTCAAAAGCCTGAAGACGCCTAACATCATCTGTCCTCAGAGGCCATGTCTCGCACCCATACAGCAACACAGCCCTTACTGTAGCATGGTACACGCGACCCTTAAGACGCCACAAGTGACGCAGCTTAGCCTTTGAGATTCTTGTACTGACTTCATCAGACACCTTTCTGTCAGAGTTAATACGACTACCGAGGTATGTAGAGTTTTCCACGATCTCCAGTGATTCTCCTTGAATTTTAAGGGATATGTTCGCGGACGGCACGTTCTGAAGCATGACTTTGCACTTTGAAGGTGCAAGGCGTATGCCAAAAGATGGTATGGTGGTGATTAGTCGATTCATAGGGCTTGTGCTTCGCTTTGGTTTTCCAGATGAGGGCGATGTCATCTGCGTACTCCAAATCGACAAGGCTCTCACCAACTACAATTTGAACACCGGGGTTTTTAGGACCTTCAAGCGTTCGCCTCACTATTTCATCAATGATGAAGTTGAGCAGAAACGGAGAGAGCGTACATCCTTGTCTGACACCACTTTTCGTAAGGACGCTTTTGGATAGCTCACCATACGCTCTCACCCGCCCAGAAGTATGTGAATATAGGGATCGGATCATGTTTACAAACTTCTGGGGCATACCCTGTTGAGTAACTGTAGTTAACTGCACTAACAGATTCAGAGAATCAAGTGCACCTTTGAAGCCAAGGAATACCAAGATTGTGGATCGCATGTACATATGGTGTTGTCCTAACACCTGAAGGATTGTGAAGACGTGGTCAACGCAGCCTCTGTCTGGGCGAAACCCCGCATAATTTTCATGAGTCAAGATTTCGCATGCCACCATAGGGTGAGGAAGAACCAGTGACTCCAGAAGCCTTGTCACAACAGACGTCAAACTGACACCTCTGTGGTTACTCCATTCACTGCGAGTCCCAGTTGTCTGGGACGGTCTCTTTCTCCCAGATAGACCCAAATAGACTAGACAGACACTGATTGAGGAGCCCACCACCATCCTCGAACAGAGTAGGTGGAAGGTGGTCAGGATCAGCAGCACGATGACGTTTGAGTAGAGAAATACATTCGGACACTTTTGAGACTGAAGTTGGGTCCATATTCACGGTCCATCTTTCTGCTGAAGGCTGAAATTATGGATTAGAGGTAGAAGGTGGCCAGTTGAATTGCTCTTCGGAGTACTGTGCCCAGTAGTCCGAACGTTTTGCTCTGCTGCATATCAGGGAGCGCCGGGTGGAGTTGTGGTGGCGGTCAGCTGGAATCTGTCGCCGGGTCTCCAACAAAGACACGGTCCTATCAGAGATCTAATGTTTGGATGAGGTTGGCTGGGTTATACCTTAAACAGACGTTTTGGCTTTGAATAGCGCTTTGGATATCTTTTCCCAGTGACCGATTATATCCGACGTCGTAGCGTCCGGTAGGCGTTCGAGGAGCTGGTTCTGATAGCTTCGTTTGACTTCTGGGTCCACTAGCATCATCATGACCAAATGAGGCGTGTGCATTTCGCGTACACCTGAAAAGCGCAATGAAAAGCAGCAGCGTACAAGTGCATGGTCGGAGTCCACGCTAGTGTTCCAGAAGGAGCGGCAGGCGATGAGTGCCCATCGCCACCGATAACGGACGGCGATGTGGTCCATTTGGATTCGTGGCTGGGTACCACATTATCAACCGATTTCCACTGTTCCGGAAACTCGTACTGCAAAGGAACAGTCTGTGATCGGCACACATTGGAAATAAGCAATCCCTGCTGTCCGTGCTTTTCCTGTCCAATCCAAGACGAATACCCAGTCGGGCCTCAGCAGCCCTTAATCCACCTACTTGAGCGTTCATGTCACCAGAAATCACAGTGATATCTGAGCTTTTAGCCCCCTGTAGAAGGGCACCTTGGGCGTCATACATTCTCCTTGACAGATCCGGGTACATATTTCAACTTGTTTCAAAGTTTATGAAGTCAGTGAAAGTTTCAGGCTTCACATGTTACTTTAACTTTTATTATTTGCGTCATTTGGTGAGTTTGACATTAGGTGATAAAATGCATTATTACTATTATTCATGTTTTGCTTTTACAGGGTATGCGCGGGATGACAGGTGGGCCAGGACCTCGTGGACCACAAGGACCACAGGGACCCAGTGGCCCTCAAGGAGCGGCAGGTCCAACAGGACCCGAGGGACCACCTGGAGAAAGGGGGCCAAAAGGAGCCGAAGGTTCACCCGGCGCCGAAGGGCCTGAGGGCCCTCCTGGACCAGATGGGCCACAAGGAGCAGAAGGACCGGTTGGACCCGTTGGTGAACCTGGACTTGATGGATTTCGTGGGCTTCGTGGACCGCCGGGTGATCCAGGGCCTGTTGGCGAACTGGGACCACCAGGAGAACGTGGACGGCAAGGACCGGCAGGTGAACGAGGAACATCTGGCAAGCCCGGTACGCCTGGGGAGGCCGGTTTAAAGGGGCCTCCAGGAGAGAACGGAAAAGATGGGGAGGACGGTGCAGCGGGGTTACCGGGGAGTCCCGGACCTAGGGGCCATCCTGGCTGGTCTGGTCCTCCTGGGCCAATCGGACCTCCTGGTCCTGACGGAGCACGAGGTGATCCTGGGGAAGTGGGAGCTCCGGGTAATCCTGGCCCGCCAGGCGAAAGTGGACCCATCGGCGAGACAGGAGCTAAAGGTATCAAGGGAATGCGTGGTGATGCAGGAGCGTCTGGGCCATCTGGTCCCCTTGGAAGAGATGGGCCTCCTGGTCCTCCTGGTCCAATGGGTCCACCGGGACCACCTGGACCACCAGGCATGCATTCGGTCTATGTGCCAACCATAGCCAGAGACTCAGGCAGAGGAAAAGGAAAGGGCATCTTTTCTGATGATCCACTAGCAATGACAATTCTCGGGACAGCAACAAATCAAAAACCCAAAGGCACCAAAAAGTCGCCGGCTATTAATTGCAAACAGCTAGCAACACTGTACCCCAATCTTCAAGATGGTGAGTTTCCATTTTTTTTATGGGCTATTGTGTGCACTACTTGTTAATTATGACTTTGTTAATGCATGTGGCGGTTTTGCAGGAGGCGTATTGTTCAGTTTCACATCACTCGTTTTGAACAGTCGTCCTCCTGTCCTGGCGCAATTATTCATGTGAGAAGTGGGTTCTGCTACGGCCACACTTTATGTCCTCAAAAGGTAGCTCTCAGATTTTCTTAAGGCAGCAGCTTTGCACCACAGAAGCATATCTTCGAATCTGTTCATATATTTGATACACTCAAACATTTGCTGGAGCTTCCCCACACACACGCAGTCATCTTGTCTGGCAGTCGAGATCTCATAACAATGAGTGGCTGAGTCTGTCCTGCTTGTGAGAAGGTAAAGATCGCATGTTTGGTTTTCATTAAAGAAACCACTTATAAAGTTGCTGAAAACTCTTCGAGAACCCACGACCGATTCCGCTCTTCGTGGGGCTCATCAGCTAGATACAGTCCCTGAGTTCTCGTCAACCTTATGTTCCGTATGAACTCAAATTGGACAGATCTCGACAGGTACACTCATTTTCAGATCCACCGCGTTTTCACGGAAGACTCAACTGAATCTCCCGTTTATGATATTCTTTTACTGAATTTGCTGCACAAAGGCCGCCTCATGTTTCATTTGGTACGATATTCAACATATCGAACCCTTGTGAGGAATTTCCTTTATGAGAATATAATGCAATATCTAAAATATCCTACCAGCTTAAACATGAAGCGGTCCTTGTGCAGCACATTCAGTTGACGAATATCATAAACGCGAGATTCAACGAAATTTCCCATGAAAACCGGTTGATGTGCAATTACCTTAGATATTGATGCCCATGTCTTTCACCAGTTATTTCGGCAGAAACCGTCTAAAACAGTATAATAAGCTGATCGGAACTCATTTGAGTGTGCATCTAGGAGTGGAACGCTAGAGAGGATACACAATCTCAAAGTTGTGACCCTGAACATCTAGCTTGTGATTTGCTACTCGGTGTGTGAAAATATGCAGTCAGTATTGATTGACCTATCAACAAGAATTAAAATGAGCGAAATGCACTCATTTGCAAACTAATTTGGTTTTGGGAAATGCCCACCTGGAAGGAAAACGGCAAAAGGTGGCGAAATTTGTTGCCTGTTTGTGCCAGGTTCCTTGTGTGACTCTATGTTAAACAGGTGGACCTTCTTTCAGTCAGGAGTCAAAGTTGTCTAGCGTGTTAAGAGTAGGCCCTTGGTCCTAGAATCTGTCCAACATGCGTTTCAAGATGAAGGCTCTTTAACAACCACGGTTTTAGCCGAATGCATTTTCCAAGCCTGTATGGTTCCAAATGAGAATAATTCCCCCTTTCGTAAAGGGCCGCTACGCCGGAGTTTAGAGCGACAGAATATTTTCTTAGGCGGGTTTAAGTGTGAGTAGTTGTCTGGAAGTTGAGCGTGATTTCGCGCGTGAGGATTAAGTCCCAGCAATATACGATGCCCACCTGGAACCCAGCTGAATCTCTTTTAAATGACTGTATTTCGCTAATTTCATGCAATGTGGTTTCAAGTAGAATATAACGTTGACGGAAACTCGGGGACTGCGCCTACCTGATGAGCCCCAAGAAGGGCGAAACCGGTCGTGGGCTGTCTACGAATTTTCAGCAACCTTATGAGTAGTGCATCACGAATATACAAGAAGAAGGTTCTCTCCACCGGGACAAAACACATCAAACCAGCATACATAAACTAGTGCGACTGTCTGAACTACACACATTTAAAACTATAACAACTCAGTCAATGGAGTCTCGTCAGGGGTATTAGGAGTTCTGTAGCAATTTTCTACATAATATACATTTTCGACACCCATCAAATCGGACCTGCTACACGCAATACTAAGCAGTTTGTTTAACTTTTGATCTTTGTTGCTTTGCTTTTGGACCCTTAGGACTTACTACAATAAGTGTCTGCGGCTATGGACAAACTGGAAACTGATCAAAAAATAGCAGGAAAGCATAGAGCTCGAGGCAGGTCAGTGGTTAAGAGGCAAACTTGGTAACCAGAAGGTCCGTGGTTCGAGCCCAACCTCTGCATCTCCACTGCTTTAGTCTACATTCGGGATCTAATCCCTCGTGCTTCCTGCTGGTGGCATGACAGCTTTGCCCCGAAAGGTCATAGCGGTCAAGCGATTACCATTACTTTATTATTAGGAAAGCCGATGTCTGAATAGTTCCCATACTGACACACCGCCAGACTATAATCCTATACCAACACTATACTCACACACTTACAAAAGACTAAGAAACATGAACTAATGAATTTGACATAAGACATTTTTTCTCTGACAAAAACTTTCTAGTTGATCAGTTTGTTCACTTTCAAAGAAACATGAAAGTGAATATTTTATTTCCACGTCTCAGAGCTTGTTACATGTCACCCATTTGACTAAAATGTTGAGTATAAAGTCATACTGTGTTTTTAAGATTCGTTTGTAGGGCACAAAAATATTTATTATGATTTTTGGCCTTCGACTGTCCCGACACTCAACACAACACTTTGTACTCTCGCACTGTGCACTGTGCTTACTTGACACCACGGCTCATTTACGTCCATTCATCAGGCGATTTTCCACTGTTCCGTGCAGCACTGGTCAGTGTATGGCGTCTCACGTAAGCGTCTTATTGTCGTAACCTTGTCTACTGAGGTCACAGTGTACTTCTAATTCAAAAGATATTTTAGTAGGATTGGCACTGGATCCAACATGTTTAGTTGTCCTTGGATTAAAACTTCAGCCACACATCGTTCAGCGTTCCTACTAGCAGGTCAGTCGTCCCCTGGCATTCATACAGAGCACATTTCAGGATGGTCACTTGAAAGCGCTGTTTTGTTGCCATGGTAAGTTGAATTGTCCACATATAGCGTAATGTAGTGGCTTGCTTCCTGTGAATAGAAAAGCATAATCCAAAATGAATCCAGTGCAAACAATTCAGTGAAATTCAGTGTCAACCGAAAACACAGGAAAACGTGTGAATCCACCTGTTGGAACTGCAGCCTATGGTCCTTGTGTACCTACAGAAATGAGTTTTTTGGTACACTGGGCTTACAGCGAGAGGGCGACAGTAGTCACGACGCCCGAGTACGCTGGCAAATGCTGATCAGGGTCGTCAGGTGACTAAATCAAAAGGATCCGAATTTTATTTGCATCTGACTCTCAATCTTATTTGTGTAGTGACAGTAATAAGTCTTCTTATGAAAAAAAAACGGTCTGTTTCGGAATAAATGACCTTTCATTTGTCCAAGCACTCTATTGGATTGATCCCAATGGCAATGAAATAACCGACGCAGTTCAAGTCTTCTGTCGAATGTCGACTGGCGAAACGTGTGTTCCTGCGAAACAGGCGGTTGTCACCGGAACTGAGGACGATGAAGTGAGTTGTGTTAAGTTGCCTAACCGAATGGGAGCTCTCTGATGCTTCATTCAATACTTTCCAAGTTGACCACTGTATACGATTTGTATGAACATCTGTTTTATTACTATGCCAAACAGGTTTGTCGAATAGTCCTTGTAGCTTTCGGCCTGCGCGTCATGTTAGGTTTCAGTCACACTTTTAAAAGCATTGTTCACCCAACTTACTCCATCTTCACCAGCGTTCGAAAAAGCGACACTCTTCTTCAGTCACCCACGAACTTCCGCAGACCAATTGTCAGTGACCTCTAGTTACACCTTAATTTCACTCTCCCCAGCAGCACTTGCTACAGTGTCCTAAGAGTCCACATGTCAGCATGTTCTTGGCTCAAAACAAGCGACTTTTGGGGAATCTATTGAACATTTGGCTTGCGATCCAGAGGAGAGCGAGAACCTAAGGTTTCACTGTATTCATGACCGTAGGGAGTAGCCTCAACAGGGGAATGATCTTGTAACAAGTAGTTTCATTACTAGCTGTTGTCAGAAATTACCAGCTATTAAATTTACTTTTTAGCCCTGCAATGAGTATCTCTGATTGACTGCTTCCCACCTGTAGCTTATACGAGCAACTCCTTCAAATTTCACTTACGAAGGCTGTTCAACCAAAAGTCGCCGGAACTGAATTTTTTTGCACCAACCAATGGAAATCGTTCTCTTGGTTTCACGAAGTTGCGCAGGTCCATGTTATCTTAAATTCCATAGAATTTCTACGACAAATGTGCTTGCTTGGATTAAATAACTACTATATGACCAGCGTCACTCGGACTTCTTTCGCGTGCGCAACTTTTCACGTCCAACAGTGTTTGGTTGCTTCTGGGTTTCCTGTGGTTTTGCAAAATTTAGCAGTGTCCATTGCTTTCAAAAATCGCTGTTTTCTCAACCGGACAGCAGGTTGAATTAGATTCTTTAGCGAAAACCACCAACATCCTGATTGTCGAGTAATCCGACAACCCAGGTAAAACAGGTGAGGAACATCTTTGTAATGTACTACTCGTAAGGTTGCTGAAATTCGTCGACAACCGTCCGTCAGCAACCTTACGAGTAGTACCTTACAAAGATATACATGTGTCGCGATATCTCGAATATCGTAGTGACTGAAACATGAGGCGGCCTGGTGCAACACATTCAGTTGCCTGAAAACATCACAAACGAGAGATTCAGCTGGGTTCCAGGTGAGTCTCTCGAAAAATCTAAATTAGTTTGCAGATGAGGAACATCTTTTAGGGCTATGGCGAAAACACCTATGACGACGCAAATCAGGCCAGTGAAAATGCCTCCTCCATTTTTCAAACTTAACAAATTGTCCAGCCCGGTCGACATCATACGATTTGCGAATAATTACCTATCCATATGGGGCGAGCTGGCTCAAGTGGTTAGAGCGTGAATTTACTGACCGAAAGGTCCGTGATTAGAACCCAACCTCTGGCTCCCGACTTCCCCTGTCTAGGCTTGGGTAACCTGGCAGTATCCCAGCCCTCGTGCTTCCTTCGTGTAGTATGGCAGCTAGGCACCGGAAGGGTGCTACAGCTGAGCGATTTTTAAAAAAATTATCTACGTATCCATATGTTTCAAAGCAAAACGTCCATGTCAGCTTTTGCGACGAAGACCACTGTTGACTGGTGGGTTTGTCGGAGCGTTTGTTGTCAGACATTTCCAATTACCGCGAATCACTTCGAAGATGAACAATTCAGTTTTAGTAATGTTTTATTTGCTCTTTATAGCATATTTTCCTTATGTCGTCCATGAGATGATACAAGACGGGTTTTAGCTTTATATTTCCATGTTCCCAAATCCCTACGAAAACCGGTGACGATGACCTGTTGAAAGAGTCAACCAAACTATCACCACTACTGTCCGCAGGATCAGACTAAGGCGAACAGTTTTTGTTCCAATTTCTCGTTATTGTCCCTGTTGATAGTTGCCGAAATTCAGACTCGCCATGTTCCACATTTCGAAAGACCCTTACCAATTGGACCATTCCAACACAAGACTTGTGTGCAACTGAATCAGTGTGAGAAGTATTATTGTTTATGTTTACTGCTTGGTGTTACACAAAATCGATTCCCCCATCTCAGTTAGGGGACGCTGTGCTTTTCCATTCAGATCACTTATGAAGTGGATGGTACTCAACTGAGTTTCTTGAAACTGTACAGTACGTCTGCAAGTCAATCTATTTCAACTTCCTGCCACATCCAAGTGAATGACTACTCAGTTCCTAACAAAACCAACACTCTCTATGCTGATAACGGAGTGGAAATAACGGGCAATCACCCGCATTTACGATATAGCGAACGAAAGGAACAATGCACGGTAAGTTTTCGGGTTATTCGAGAACCAGTGTTTTGCTGAAACTTCAGAATTTTGACACCGATGAGGAAATCTGAATCTAGCTCGCCGGAGACCGTATTAGGTGAAACACAGCATAGTGGGATAAGATATAACACACGAGAACCAATCTTTCAAGGGCTTTGCGATCAGCTGAATACCAACCAAGTACACCATTATTTGAATCCGCTATTACTTCTGATTGGTGCGTTCCTGAGATCAGCTGTTAGCGGGAATCTAGTCCGTGTGTGTGTGTGTGT